TGAATCGCTGTGATTTATACCATATATTATAAAATTTTTTAAGTTTAAAGTGATGAGAAACGTACTAATTGTGGAACTTCTGTATACTAAAAGTTTGTATCGAGGAAGAATAAACTGGTTTAATCAAGAAAGGACTTGTATCGCTGAAGATCCTTGCAAAGAATTTCTACCGGAAACAAACAAACAAGCAGATACGTAACAATTAGTTACAGGCGATGATGTTTAAACAAGCAACCATTATGTCAGTTTCGCTGGTGCACCAGGGATGTGTGCAGCACTGAGATACAATGGATGTTAAAGGAGGGGGTCAAAAAACATTCGAGAGAGTGCTTGGTTCGCTAATAATGATAGTCAGAAAAAAAAGAAGGTAAGCTAAACTTTGTGTTTATTTTGGACTTGTGAATGCGGTGACTCGCTATAACTCTTTCCCTTGCTAAAACAAGTGAATCTGAATGTATTGGATAGTTTCCATTGGTTCAAGACATTACATCTGGCATCCGGATACTAGCAAGTCACAAGGGATGATGAGAGGAGACCTAAGACTGTTTTTGTAAAATAGATGGCTTTTATCGGTTTTGTGTTATGTAATTTGGCCTGTATAATGTGCCCTGCACATCTCTACTTGAGAGCATTGTTAACAGGGAATATGATCTTTAAGGTGCAACAATGAATCTGGGGGTGAGACTTGTTTTCTACTTTAGAGAATTGTTACAAGGGAGTATGAGCTTTGAAATGTAATAATCATTCTGGCTTACATGGTTTCTGTGTCAAAGCATTGTCGACAGGGAAAATGGAAACTTTGACGATGCTTTAATTTTAAGTAAATTCTGCAGGCAACGAAAGTCTATAGGAGTTGTAACAGTTTTATCAAGAGCTTTTTTTTACGATTCAATCGGCTAAATGGCATTAATTAAAAAAATCCTGAAAATTGCATTTCTTCAAATTTGATAAGTAATATTTTTTGACAATTTAATCTGTTAAAATGTGTAAGAGCAAAATGGTGAATAATGTTGTTTTAGATAGCGCCCTCTTCAGTTGAAAGACCAAATATGCTACGTTGACGAAGGAGAGCGTCATCAATTATAATACAATGATAGTGTATACTTGGATATTCTTTCTAACAACAGTTAAAACTTGTTGAAAAACTAATATTTTGCCTAATAAAAAATAATTCGCACGCGGTTTAGCTATTATTACCGGATGTTAAAAAAAAAAGAATAACGTGTCAGTTTAGTAGAATTCCTCGTAGCGGTAGTTGTAGTTGAGACCAAATAGCGCGTGGCGGTCAAGACATGACGAGGCCTAAAACTTTCAAAACCCGTTTTCCAAAGCCAGTGAAGACGAGATTCTATGTTTATCGTTTTTACGGTTAGTGTGTGTGTAAGATGAATTCTGTAAGTAACGCGACTGTGTTGCGTTAACCGCTTTCTGCAGCCTGAAGTTGCGTTATTCGAGAGTGGATTTTAACCATGGCGTGGCAAGACTTACGGAGGTGGAAACGTGTGATCCTATCGGCCAGGCGGAGGTACTCTAGTCGGTAGAGTTTAAGTGTAAATAAATATATTTAATATAAAACTTGAGCTGTATTTCATTCAAACCTGCATGAATCAACTGAAGTGAAACGAAATGTTATCTAGTAATAATATAGGATTATTAACAATAAACGAAAGACATTAATCTTTATTTATGTTTTTTATTACAAAAAAGACGTTAGCTTAGGTTATGTTTCTTAAGATTATTCCAGTAAAATTTATAAAGGAACTAACATTTTCAAGTTCTTTATTCCTTACACAAGGACTTCTGTTATTTCAATATTACTATAGGTAGTTACTAAAGAATGTTTTAGTAAGGTATTTTAATATATTATTTCTCAAAGATTTAGCTTGTATATAATATATTGAATAATAAGAATAATGTAGAACTAGGAGCTGGGTAACACAGTCTCTCTTAAAACTGACACAATTTTTTTATCGGTCTTGATTATCCAATATCTAACATTGAGATTTAAAGCAGGATCCCTGGTGTCGGTTAGCTTAATGACTAACACCTGTCTGCAGATTGAAAAATTACATCGATAAAAAAGTAGGTCAGTGACTGACCCATATCTCTGGAGTCATTGCCCCCATCAATTTCTAAAAATTTACTCGCTCTCTGTTTATTCTGCATTCTCGAACAAAGTTACTAGTCGGGTCGTAATTATTACATATGTAGTTATGATATATATTTCTGTTGTGAATAAATTATTTAAAAGTAAAAACAAAAATTAGTTCTCACGTTAATTAGTATCGGGTGTTACGATACATACGAACAGATGAACATCGAGTCGAATAATGGTCATAACACACACACATAGGCTGTGGAAGACCATATCTCAACACGGTGGGTGTATATATATTAAGTCCCAACTCAACACACAATGGATGTATATATATATATATACATTACGTCCCAACTCAACACACAATGGATGTATATATATACATTACGCCCCAACTCAACACACAATAGATGTATATGTATATATATATACATTACGTCCCAACTCAACACACAATGGATGTATATATATATATATATACATATACATTACGTCCCAACTCAACACACAATGGATGTATATGTATATATATACACATATACATTACGTCCCAACTC